AGGAGGAGGAGGAGGAGGAGGTGGAGGAAGAGGAGGAGGAGGAGGAGGTGGAGGAAGAGGAGGAGGGAGTGGTAGGTGTTGCCTCCACAAATGGTGACCAAAGTTCAGACTTTTCGAGTTCTGTACCTCTGTCTCCTTTGCCTCTCGAATTTCCCTCCCCAAGTGGATAACGATGATTGGCGTCATAAGCAGCAGCATTTATGGGTGGTAAGGTAACCGCTATAGCTGCTGCAGCTGCAACATCGAAAGTTATCTTTCCCGCCTGCAGCACCCGCTGCTGCTCTTTCACCCACCGCTCTTTCTCTAAATGCTGAACGAAATCTCTCTCTCTCTCACTACGTCTCCCCCCTCCTTCGCCCAGCTGCCGGGACTCAGGTGTCGCTACAATCTTCACATCATCATTCAGCACAAGAAGAAGGAACAGAAGCAACACTGCCAACACTTGCCCCGTTCTTGCAGATTGGCTCACGGCGGTAATCACGGGGGCAATCACGGCAACCGTAGATTCGCTCCGATGCTGCTGCTGCCCTGATGGCCCCCCCACTTCACCTCCCCACCCCATTCTCCACTTCCAACTTGATCTCTCAATCCCGATCGGGATTGAGATGCACGAGACCAACATCAACACTTGTCAACATCAAGACTTGTCTTGAAAGAGCATATGTATCGTCGCTCCACTTCCCTTTCGTTCGACCAACCAATCAGCCCCTGGCCTCCCCACCTTTCAACGAATCTGAGTGAAGAAATTTACTAGTATCTTGTCCGTTGAAGGTAACATTCGCTTTTAGTCTCTTGTGCATTGAAGCTAAAGCGAATGATACCTTAACTTTTCTTATCTCAGGGTATACTCACACTAGTACTGTCCTAAAAATGAATATGACCGCAATTACGTCCAGAAACGAGTAAAAAAAGTCAAATAGTGTGAGCATACCCTCCTTCGTCGAAGATAGATCGGTAAGGGTTCGCCTTTCATTTCCCCATGTTGGCATCATCAAGCAATGGTCGAGTAGCTCGCTTCATCCGATGCACCCCGGGGAGAAAGTAGTGAGCAGAGGTTGAAGGCGCCGCAAGGAGCGCGCCAGAAACTTTGGGAGGGCTGGAGAGGGAGGGAGAGGGAGGGGGAAGGGATGTAGAGAGAGAGAGAGATGGTGGAAGGTAGAGAACGGGATGAAGACCAGGGATTTCGGTCTTCCTCGCTCCCGCGTTCTATGGTTCCTTCTGGGCTTCTGGATGATGATTCCCGGCTCCAATTTGCCATTGACTCAAGCAAAGGATAGTAAACGCCTCAAACGGGAGAGAGAGAGAGAGAGAGAGAGAGAGAATAGGAAAATAAATCTTCTCAAGAAATCACTTTACATAATAGTCGGCGTTTCGAAGATTGGTGTTGGATTTTTTTGGCGAGCAAGCAATCAAAACCGGATGTGCATCGAAGAGAAAAAGGTCGTGCAAAAGCAAAGGAAGAGAAAGAGAGAGCAAGACTACATTGGGCAAGACTACATTTCTTCCCCGAAAGCCCGATCTATAAATATATTTGGCTTCGAGATTGCTCTCACCCTACGTCAGATGCTTATCCCGCACGCAACCGATAGACCAAGGCTTGACAACAAGAGAAATAGAAGGGAAGAGAGAGAGAGAGAAGGGGAGGGGGGGGCGCGGGGGGAAGAAAGGGGGAGCGCGCGCGCGCTAGAGAGAGAGAGAGAGAGAGAAGGCATACACGTGCCCTGCGTGAATGTGATCATACTAATAGTCAGATACGTTTCGAGAGCTTCATGATTGTTGTCGCTTTCATTACGATGCTCCGCCAACTAGCAAGCGGTAGAAAGCGCGGCAGAGAGAGAAACTCGGACTAAGATTGAAGGGAAAGAGATGGAAAGAGGCACAAAGAGAGCGGAAGACAGGGGGAGAGAGAGAGAGAGAGGAGAGAGAGAGAGAGAGAGAGAGAGAGAGAGAGAGAGAGAGAGAGAGAGAGAGAGAGAGAAAGAGAGAGCAGATACGTCCAACTCTGCTATGAATTTGGCCTCTCTACTGATCCATGCAAATTCGGGCTACAATTACTCCTGAAATTACCAAAGAATCATCCACTACTACGACACTGCTCCGAATGATCGAATTATCTTTTATCAACGATGCAAAGTTATCCTAAAATTACCAATCATCGATCCTGTACGTCAAAATTAATCTAAAATTATCAATGCACATAAGCCCGCTCCCTCTACTGCCGAGAAGCAGGCAGTCCATAAGAGGCACTGGAAAGAAAGCAGCCCAAGGGCGCACCCACCACACACACATACACAAACACACACACACACACACACAAACGCGCGCACAACCACAAGCACGAGCGCGCGCGCACCCACGCATAAGCACAAGCTCGAGAGCGCGCGCGCGCGCACGCACAAGCACACACGCACACGCACAGGCACAGGCACGTGCTCACGCGCCCAGACTCCCATACACACCCATCTAGGCGGAAGCGGAAAAGAGAACACGGAATGCTACCACCTGCGAAAAGGAATCTGGCGAAGAAGGAGAAGAAGGATATAATTGAATTGAACAGCAAGGGCAATAGCGCAAATGGAAATCGTCGGACCGGAAGGAAATGGGGCGAGCTACTACAGTGACAGCTTTCGTCGGGATATGTCTATTTCTTTCAGTCGAAGGAAAGAAAGACTATTTCTCGATTTGTGCCTGCGTGTCATCCTTGCGCAGGGCCCATGCTAATCTTCCTTCTCTCTATCGTTCCAATCCTTTTAACGGATGTCCCGAGGACAAGGAAAGAAAAGACTGCAATTCCACGGACACCGGACGGAAAATGTGGCAGATGGAGCGCGGTAATTTGTGGGCTAGGAGGACAGCTTGGAGGTGGGGGTGGGTTGGGGGGG